GAGACTCCAACTCAAAAAAAAAAAAAGGTGCATTGGTGTCACCCACTGCCCCAGCAAGTGTGGGGCTGGCATAGAGCCTTTGACCTTGACCATGAACTTTCTTATTAAGTGGATCTGGGAGAGGGGTAGAGACTTGGGGGTAATGACCAGGCACAGCGGCTCACACCTGTCATCCCAGCACCAAAGGCTGAGTTAGGAGTTCGAGACAAGTCTGGGCAATAGAGTGAGACCTCATCTCTAGGAAAAAAAAAAAATTAGCTGAGTATGATGGCACATGCCTGTAGACCCACCTAACTCAGGAGGCTGAGGCAGGAGGATCACCTGAGCCCAGGAGGTCGAGACCATGGTGAGCCGTGATCCCGCCACTGCACTCCATCCTGGGTGACAGAGAGACCCCATCTCTGACTTTTTTTTTAAAAGTCCGTTGCCCGTTTTTGAGTTGGGCTGGTTGTTTGGCTGTTGGGTTTTAGGAGTCATCCATATTTTCTGCATATTTATCCCTGAATCGATGTGTGGTTTGGAAATATTTCCTCCCATTCTGTGGGTTGCCTTTTGACTCTCTTGGTGGTGTCTTGGTGCACAAAATCTCAAAACCCTCACAAAGCCAGTTGGTCTGTTTTATCCTCTGGTGGCCAGTGCCCTCCTGCGTTTGATTTTCACAGTGTCCCTTCCTGCCACAAAGGACCGCAGACTGATACAGGGAAGTCGGGGTGGCGGGCGGGGGTTCCCTACCGTGGGTGTTCCGACCTCCAGTCCTCTCGTCCTGCAGGGGAGATGGCCTGGGGCCGGGGTTTGAGCGGGTGCCAGCCTGGTAGTGCCGTCCGAGGCCTGAACCACCTACCCTGCCACCCAGGGGTCCCTGTGCTGTGACCCCCGGGTACTCCCAGATGGCCTCACAGAGGCTCCCAGATGCCGCTCCTTCCCGTGCTGCGAGAAACTGACGGAACTAAATGTGGAATTTGGTCACGCAGGGTTCATGGCCTGAGTTCAGTTTGTTTCGATTTCCTGTCTGGGGTGGCAGGGTGAGGTGGCTAGGACGCCCTCCCGCGGGAGATCCCGGGGGTCTGTGGTTCCCGTGACAGACCCAGCTGTTTCTGGCAGAGTCTTGAGATTCTTGGGGGCTGCGTGTGGCCAGCCCAGCCGGGTCCTGAGGGCTGCAGACGGGAGCCATGGATGGATGGAGCGCCTCCTGACGTGTGCGTCTCGTGGCTTCCCGGTCTCCCTGCAGTGTGCGTGGGGGCTTGTGGGTCTCTCCTGGGCCGGCCTGTGAGGATTGAGGCGTCTGCTGGGGTGACAGTTTCAAGGCCCTCCCCGCAGCCTCTCATTCAGCGCATTGTGGGACTGGAACTCTTGGCTGTGGGGTGAGGGCTCTTGTAGAGACAGAAGAAGCTGAGGAATGGGGGGATGAGGGGGTGGAGGGCAGACCTGGGTGCGTGGGGTGGGGTCGTGGAGAGGAGACAGAAAGGAGGTGAATAGGCAAGGCTGGAGGCAGAGGTCCTTTTTTTTTTGAGTTGGAGTCTCACTCTGTCGCCCAGACTGGAGTGCAGTGGCCG